AATGTAAATACTTTTCAGGATCAATTTGACACAATAGATTTCTCAGACAATGACATCAGAAAATTAGATGGATTTCCATTATTGAAAAGAATTAAAACACTTTTTTTTAATAATAACCGTATTGTCAGAATTGGCGAAGGATTAGAACATTGCATACCAAACTTGGAGACACTTATGTTAACTGGAAATATGATTCAAGAATTGGGTGATTTAGAGCCGTTGACCCAACTAAAGAATTTAACGAATCTTTGCCTGCTGCAAAATCCGGTTTCCGCAAAACCTCAGTATAGGCAATATATAGTATACAGATTTCCACAGTTGAGACTGCTAGACTTTAGGAAAATTAAAATGAAGGAACGCGAGGCTGCAGTTGCCTATTTCAGAAGCAAAAGGGGAAAGGAAATGGTTCGCGAGATTGCAAAGAAAGCAAAAACACAAGCTTCTGGTACATTCCCTGATAAACCTATGACTACTCCAGAGGAACGTAATAAAATTAGGGAAGCTATTACAAATGCTTCTTCTCTGGAAGAAGTACAACGTCTCAGTAAATTGCTTCAAGCTGGTCACATGCCTAGTGAAGAAAGATTACAGAATGGTTGGTTCCTATTTTATTCTCTTCTATTTACATTATTTAGGGTATATCACACATGAAAATGTTTTGTTATAAATAATATTTTAGGAAATACAGTACCTGAAGCAATGGAAGAAGAAGACGATTAAATTTTTTATATGTTATTCTCAGATTTAGATTAAAGAGGTACATTCTTTTTTATTGCTGTAAGTATTAATTGATAGTTTTGGTGAATACAATGGCGGATTGTTAAGCTAATAAGAAACCATATACTACACAACTTCATTCTTATTGGAAGATGATTCGAACTGCTCAGAATAAATTGATTGAAATACCTAATTGCCCTGAAGCGATTTTATAAATATATGTTTACATAATCAATACAACCAGTCAATCACTAGGCTGTGGATATTTATATATTCTTTTCATGTGTTAATTTTCATATTTGTCAGTTTCATTTACTTTGAAGATATCAGTTATAAAGAATGCTTGTTAAGCTAGACACTTACATAGACATCCACAGTCTTTGATTTATTTTATAAAATATTAAACATTATTAACATATGGATGTGTTTATTTCAGTGTTCGAAATAAATAATTTTTTCATAATTTCACATATGCAAATTTCTTCCTTTAATAATGGACATTACAGTTCCTTAATTGTATTGTTATTCATTATGTAGGTAATTTTTCACATTTCAATGTCGAAGTTAAAAGCTTTGTATGTTAAGAAAATTTCGAAAACATTAATTATCGATCGTTATTATTATCTATTAATGTTTAATGTTCTTCATATGTATACGCACTTCATTTAAATACAGTTTAAGATTAACAATAAGTCTGTGATTTGAGGTAAGTTACGTAAGTTACTGTCGCCAGATGTCAGTATTACGCAAAGTGAACTATCAGTTATATCGGATACGTATTGTTTCTGGTGTTGAGGTATTAATATTTCTCAGCAACAATGGGTAATACTACAGCAATACTCAGAGGTTGGAATGATTACCCGGAAGGTGATGTGGTTCCGTCATTTGACCCGATGTTAGGATTTCCAAACGGTCGTAAAGAAAGAGGCATGTATTTCGATTTAATCCTAACCTCTAACAACTCTATATTTTAACGTTTCTCAGTTCAATATTTTATGACACTGTCGTATTTACTTTCTCATTACAAATATTTTTACATAATTTTCTACTGTTAAAATTTCAGTGTTCTTTTTATTATCTGAAATTTAAGTCAGAAGTGAAAAGTATTTTACATTGAAATCATTCTTTCTCTAATATTGAAATCATTTCTTTTTCCAATAACTTATTGTGATTGTATGTTTTGTAGAGATGCCTTTAACTTTACAAGAAATGAGAGCTGCAAGAATTCCATTACGTTTCAGGGACTATTGCGCACACAAATATTTAGAATTAGAGGCATGCAAAAGACAAAATATTCCTTTGCCCTATTATTGCAGACACGAGCGACATGCTTATGACGTGTGTCTGACGGAAGAGTAAGTATATTATCTTGCCTCCATAGTTTTTTATTTATATAAATGTAAAATTCTCTTTTGACTGATTCACAACTGTGATTCTTACTTGTTTCAGTTATATGTTACGGACAAAAGAGTATGAAAGAGAGCGCAGACTTCGTAGACGACAAAGGAAGCAAGAAAAAGCCGCGAGTGTAGCAGCAGCAGCATCTTAATTTAATACTGAACAGCTGCTGGTTGTTTTAGAACTTATACATATATAGACGGCTGTAGATATATAAGTTATAAATAAATATTACTTCTTCGTTCCATTCAAAATCTATGTAATGGAATGGCTCATTAATTCATTAAAGGTATCACATGCTTCATTTGTAAATGAACTTTCGTTTTTCATGTCTTAAATTTGTTTACAAATCTAGGAATATATTTACCAAACCAGAAAACACAAAAAAAGATACTAAACATGAATACAAAAGATCATGCGTATCACATTTGTAAAACTATATTGCATGATAGTCTCATAAAAATTCAGTTCCGTTATTTCGCTTACAAATAACTTCCAACAGGTAAATCAGTATTAAATATATTCACAGCCTATAGCGTGAATACGTGTTGTAAGATCTACCGTACAATATACGCATCAGGTAACTTGCAGCTCGTACAGAATTCAGACTAATCACTATCTAGCAGTATTTATTTCTCATTACAAAAGAAAACAGTATTACATATGTACAAAAATATCTTCGTCGCGTGCGCGTACACGAAATAAATTACAATCTTAGGATGAGGCACGACGACAAACCCGTACGAAGAGAAATCTATAGATACCGTTAGGTGGTACCCTCACCCTCTCCCAGTGACCGCGCGACGAGCGACTCCGGGTCACCCTTCTGGTAGGGGTGTATCGAGTCAATCGATAAAGTAGAAACTCTCTGTACTCTGTCAGTCACTGGGGAGTGCGTTACACGTGTTTCTTCGGAGAGACTGCCTCTTGTACTGTCGTCTTTCTTGTCTTTCCCTGAACACCGAGTGAGTGTCGTTCAACCCCCGATACCTGCAGGGCTTCAGGGATGCTCGAGGGACAATGCGTCGGGAGGCGCGCGTTGCCGCCCTATTTTAATCGCTCAGAAACGTGTCGCAAGGGTTCGTCGACATCTTGCACCGAAGACGCATTCTCGACGAAACCGTGTTGTGCCTCTTCGACGCGAACTCTACGACGGTTTACCGCACTGCGGCACCGGACGCATCGCGCGACAATTCCTCGACGGTGATCCTTGTTTCACTGGTAACACGTGCTACATCGGTAACGTCAACAGAGGAGGTCGAGTGAAAAATAAAGTGAGAAGTGACAATACGAATAGGCACTGATAACGATACAATAGGCTGTTATCCTCTGTCGCAAAGTTTCTTAAAAATAGAACTCCGATCGGCAATATTCAACGGAAAGGAATTTCTTTCCATGTCTCGGGAATCGTGGCCTATAAGGGGCTGATGAAATTAATTGATAAAAGGGTTCGATCATTTCGAAGACAGAATTTTGATCAATTCGAGAAGTATTCGTTTCGGTGTCTCAGAAATCCCTATGAAGGGTTAATAACCGGATTTCGTAAGGCGCGTTACGCTCCTCTGGACCTATTGGGTTCAACAGCCTGCCCGCCAGTGAGAGGAATTGTTACACGAATGTCCAGCGTGCGTGTTCACCGTGTAGAAGTGTGCGTGTCCCCGCTGCGCCGGTGATAGGTATCGCGATGAAGATTGATACCGTTCGCCATCGCACGATACACCTGTCCTGGTCCATGAGCTCGGGGTGTGAACATAGTAACCGCGCGTGAATGATCGCTTAGGGTTTAACTTGAAACGTTGGTCCTGTAAACGAGGTTCGAGCATCGAGTTGTACCGGATACTTCGAATCAATCCGTTAGCACCCTAATCGGGAACTGTCGAGTGGTCATTCTTGATTTATCTAGTTCTCAAATATATTTAGATCCAAGAAACTTGCTTCGAACCGCTTTTTGTCTGTTTCGTTACTAAAAATGGTACGTTATACTTTTATAAATCCTTATCAAATTTCCTTTCACTGTTTACGATAAGTGCTCGGCACAACTCGAAGCGAGAACACGTTCGTTTGAATTCTCGCCAGCTTGAACTTACATGATAATCAAGCGACGTATAAATAGTAAAGATTGAGCTTGAACGATCGCGAGATGAGCCGACGCGCGCGAGAGTTCGTTCGGAATCGTTGTTCCTGGATTCGTCGCATCCTCCAGCAAAGGTTGTTCGTAGCTGCCGATCGCGCGTGGCCCAAATCGCGCAGAGATTTAAATAAACCCGCGGGAATGACGCTCCTCCGCGCGCACTAATTCTACTCGTATATTTACAGTAACCTTAATTATAGATCAGACCGACGCGTAACACCTAGGATAAAAAAAAAGAGTGGTAGAAGAACCGCTAAATCAACGACACCAAGGACCGATCGATGTACGAAGAGTTACGTCGATACTGGGTTTTCGATGCACTCCTCCGCTCGCGTCGCGCGAACCGAGTCGAATGCGGCAGCCTCGATTCAGATTCGTCGTGGACCCGTTTCTCGCGGGATTCAAGTTTCAACGTTTCGACGTTGTTCGTCGGTCACGAATGATCGGCTAAAGATCAACTCTTCCGCAGTGTAATCAACCCCTTGCGGGACTATTCTTTCTGACTCGGTGAAGACATTTCAACGTTGAAATCAAGTATCATTACATCACGTTTCATTATTATACTTATTGTATATTGCAAACCAAACGTCATTTGATTAGTAATCGAATAATTGCCGGAAAAAAGGTTCAAACGACGAAGAGCAAGGTTGCAGCCTAGATAAAGCCTGATCGCAATCAACTTCCGGGCAACACTGTGAAAGAGTTGATCTAGCTTCGTTTTCATTTCATTAACACCACTACGGTCTAGTCGCTGTCCTATACTGAGGACGCTTTTATATCTATCTTTGAAAAGATCGTCGTGTTTCCCTTTGTCAGCATCGTTTCCAATCCGTAGTCGACCCGCGGACCGTAGCAGAATTAAGAACGAGTGCTTCGGAAGCCCTGGTCCGAGCTGTTCGCGAGACCTGAGATGCTCTGTGGAGGTTAACGACGGACAACGAGCGAGATCTTCGCTCGTGGATCCCGTCCCCGATAGAATCGACCGCGACCGTCCGCGCGATCGAATTCGCACGATCAGCTTCCGGAAAGACTGATCGAGTGACTAGTTTCGCGTGAATATCGGTAGAGCTTTGATCGAATTGATGAGTCGGTTCTGACGTGTTCGACGGAAGAAATCGTGTCCACCCTGTACGAAGGGTGCGAGGAGAATCGAATGTACAATGCGTTGCACGAGAACGAGAGCCGTCCTCGTCGGAACTGATCCGTGATCGTTCGATCGCGCGCGCGGTCGGCGCGTCCGGAGGGTTCGTTGATCGTCGTAGAGGAATTCGGGACTGTTCGTCAAACGCGTCGAGGCTCCACCGTTTACTCGCCCTTCAGCAACTTCGTCCTTGCAGACTTGATGTACGAGTACCGGTAGAAGTCGGAGAACAGGATGAAGAAGATCGTCGAGTGAAGGAGAAGAAGCGCGGCGACCAGCTTCGGGTAGCCGCAGTCGAACACCAGGGCCTGGGTGCTGTGCACGAACACCAGGAAGAACTGCACCTGCGAACGTAACGAGAATGCACCGATCAGTCGCTGCAGCTTCCGCTGGGTGAGTCAGATTTTCCTCGATTCCTCTCGACATCTTCGTTTCAGCTGGAATATCAGTTGTACGCGGACTGCGGATATTGATGCGAACTCAAATTGTTACGTAATTTCATTACTTAACCCTTTGCGGACGAAGATTCTTTGAAATGTAGGAAACCTTCAGCAGATGGAGCTGAATAATAGGGAAAAATAATAATAATATCAATTCCTTAAATAATAAAAAAGGAAACTACGAGCTGATCTCTTAGTGTTTGAGTAATTAACTCTTCGCACTCGAGAATATTTTTCTCACCAAATATTCATTATTTCCTGATGAAATATCAATGAAATTGCATAAGTTAAGTAACAGAAAAATTTTATTTCGATGCATGTGTTGATGCATTATATAGAAATTTAATATTGAATTCTAAACTTTATCATTTTCATGGGTCAAATCAAATGGCGACTGAAAGGCGCCTCTCGAGTGCAAAGGGTTAAATCATCTGTTCTCGACTTAGTCTTGCAAATATGAGAATTTCGTGTCGTGAATCTTGAGATCCAAGTATCCCATAAACGCATAAAAATCCGCAGTCTGGTTACGAGTAAATACTTGAACGTCGCTGGTTCTGCTTCGCTCGACGTCGCAGTGTCAACGACACCACCCTCGGCATTAGCGCTTTGAAGGGTTTCTTTGGTAATACCAGCTGTTCGTGTGGTAACACCTGCAAGATGCATGTAGATGCGAGGTGTTTCTATAAAAGGTGAACATGACAGTAAAATCGATAGCTGGACAAGCTAACTATCCATTCAGCGGGTATAATGCAATCCATAAACCTCTGCAGGGAAACGTTTCTATCGCGATATTTTCAACGCGGTTGAATTGACTTTTCATCGTCTTATTTAAAAATTCAAGTAAACACTCAATTAATTATAATTAGCATGTATCCACCAGCGTTTCGATTTCATAGAAAAGTCGACTCCTGACTGGATTCTGTTCGCTCCGTTTTCAATCAAACATAAGATAACGGGCCCTAATAAACCGTTCAAGCTTCATTAGCCGGACAATGAATATGATTCCCCTTCAGTTCTGATTCGTCCGAAACGAAGTGCTCGGCGGACAGCGCAGCGTCGATGATGACGCTTTTGAAACGTTCCGCGTTTCCATCGTAATTAAACGGGCACCGCTTTGGTAACCGCGCGATCACGTGGCTATCCGGTTGCATTAGAGGTGCAAAGTGTCGCAAGCCGAAATCGTGTCACGAAGATACTACACGCGCGTACGAGCTCGAGAGACCGACGAATTAATGGACTATAGATTACACAGGATCGCGGCAGTGACGCAAGGACAATCGGGTCCGCTTTGCATAGCGCGCCGCGCGGTGTCGGGGCTAGATTCTGCCGGCGAATCTGGCGCAACGCTATCTTTCGATCGATCGCGTAAAAAGTGAAACTTCATTGCGCAGGGAGGACGTGTGTATAATTTCATCGCGCGCGAAGTATAGCGGCCGAGCACCGGCCGAACAAAGAGAGCCCGCCGAAAGGTCCGCGTTCGCCCGCGTCGAGTAAAAGGCTGCGCCGCGGCCACCGCATTATTCGACTGCTCGACCGGACCGGCTATCGTTGTCTTTATTAGCTTCACGCAACGATAATCCGCGCCCGACACTTCTCGCCCGTCGGTTTTGCGCCGCGCGGCGAAAACGGTCGTTCGGGAAACGACCGTTTCTCACGGAACTGCAACTCTTTGCAACGGTTTAACAGGTTGCAACGATCCCGTCGAGTATTTATGGTAATACTATGGTCGTGGGTTAAATCGATCTCCATAATTGAGTTTCTTGAACACGAAGGTTCTTTCGAAGTGTTCCGAAGCTTCCTACAGAGGAATTACTTCCGTTTTGGTGACGTTTCGAAACTCTTAGTTGCTCCTCGTTGACTTCGATCTTCTGTAAAGTCGAAGCTTTAATCGACTTCTCGTTTCAACTTGGTCCGAGCGAGCACTCGCATCGTCTGTGTTCGAAAGGTGATGTTCTCCGAAGCGGTTGCGGAACATCCTCTCGGAGGACGTCGCATCGGCCGCGGGGTGGAGGGGAAACAACGTCCATGAGAGGACGATCCGACGACCGGATTCAAGCGATTCGGCTGTCGCAAGTGGAAGTCTGGATTTAGTAAATTCCTCGGATCCTCGAGCGTCTGGAGTTACAGTAACGCGTTACCGTTTGTCCTAGATTCCTAATTTTTAACCAGCCACTTGTCCCCTTCCACGTCTCCGATCTACTCGGCAGAGACAACGTTCCTCGAAAGTTTGAAATGTCTATAGCATTAAACTTTCCTCGCAGTTGAACTTTGCGTCCGTGACAGTATAATAGGTAAACGATTGCAACTTCTCCGATCGAACAAGTTGCCAGGGTGGCTCATATTTCTTTCACTCCTCGAAGTCCAACCGTTCGACGCGTAAGTGCTGTTCCTTCTACGTTTCGCAATCTGAATAAAACATGATAGCCTTTGAGGTACGCGTCGCTCTTCGAGGCACCAGGAAAGTTGGGCGCTAATCAGTTTCGTTGGAGGTTTCTCTGTGGGTTCGTTTCCGATCGAAGACGGCCGAACGGTGCTAACGGCGTCGCTTGCCCTTTGAACGATCCGCGACGACGGCCCCGCGAATTAAAGGTAGGCCGGGTTAGCGTATAGGTGAGGCTTTGCAGGCATGCGGCCGGTTCGCGGTACTTCGGCAACGTCGACGCCGATGGTGGTGGCACCAGGTTACACGGCATATCGGAATGCCAAATTGTTGCGCCACCGCGACGTAGTTGGCCGAGTCCGGCCAAAGCAAGTCGCCTTGCAATTGCCTAACGTCGTACTTTTCACTTTCCCTAACCCCTACCCGCGGTGTTCGCATGAAATTTCGCCCAGGTACTTGCTCCAGTGGCGGACGACGGCCCAGAATCCGCCATGGGAGACGGCGAACGCCCGGATATCTATCCTTCCTACGCGTCCTTGCCTCCGTTGGCCTGCTCGGCACTCGGCTCCGCGAAAATCGAGGCCCGCTCGGGGTACTGTCCGCAGACGATATCTTTTCGCGTCTCCAACGAACTGGAAGGGCAAGTTTGGCAAGGGGACACCGAGCACAGTTCGACAAAGTAGAATAAGTAGAATGGGAAGGAGACAGACAGTCCATCGAGGGTCGAGGCGTGGGACTCGAGCGATGCAAATATGAACATAATGGAAATATCAGTTTCATTAATTTCGATCTTTTTCAGACGCAGTGCTGGATTGCTGAGTGACTTAGCTAGATTTAGATAGACACTTAGTTTAATTAAAATTAAAGGTTCGTTTCCATAACCCTTTGCACTCCAGAAGTTTTTCACCGGAAATATTCAATATTTTTTAATGAGATACAGCTGACATTGTCTTAGATTGCATTAAGAAATCTCACATGCATCGAGGAAGAACTATTTTCTTTCAATATTTCGTACATTGATGCATTATACAAAGTTTACAGTTTTGTTGTGTTAAATCATTTGGTGGCTTAGAGGCGTCTTTGGAGTGCAAAGGGTTAAAATCGAGAAAAATCATTCACATCGTTTGGACTTGTTTCAATTGTGACAATCTCAGCAATTCTGGCACTACGTTTGAGAAAGTAAGATCGAAATTAATGAAATTGATATTTCTCACTTCTTCTCATTCCACTAATTCCCCGATTTTGCCAAACTGCGCTCCGTGTTCCCTCGCCGTGGAAAGATATCGTCTGTGAACAGTACACGCACCTGTGGTCCCGCGATTTACAATACTCTATCGTCGAAGACTACCGTTTTTCGACCGTAACGAAGCCTACGAGGAGTAACGAGCATTTAATAGCCTCTGTTGCAAGTCCTCTCCCGGTTTAGCCGCACAGGGGTTCTATTTGCTTTGAAAGTCTCGTTCAGGAGTACTCCAAGGTTTCGAGCACCGTTTTTACGAGTCTCCTGTACGAGCCGCCGTTTAGATCTTCCATTATGAAACTGAAAATCCGAAGCGTCACGTTCGTAACGATTTATGAATGTCCTCACAATGCAGACGCACGTCTTTTCTATCGAAACACCGTCATGCCGATTACAGTACAACGCAGCTAAAAGTGCGATTGTCAGTCGCGTCGATTCTATCTGTGGCACGGCAAGATTCGTTATACATTTCCTTGCTTTCTCAACAGTATCTCCAACATTAACTAAATATCATTTACCATCTAACGCCAACTCAGCATCGAACCATCGAAGCTCGATACAACCATAAATCCCAGGTTCTCGCACTACAGGCTATTTTGTCTATACCAAAACAATCCTCGCGATGTCGCAATGTAACCCTACAAGATTCCATCGTCTTCGTCAGTTTTCCATCTTAGACATTTTCAGCGTCCAAAGACGACCGACTGCAAAGAGATTCCTTCAAACCTAGTAGACATTTGCGGCAATTCGCTTCCAACCGAGCCTGTAATTGAGGATCAGTTCGGCGGCCGCGCGATTTGCACACAATAAAGCGGCGTTTGTTTAGCTGCAGCCGATTCGTGCTCGGTCCATTAAGCGCCGAAGGTTTTCCTCCTCCCGGCGCGCGTCGATTGCGGTAACGCCGCGTTCGCCTCGGGCTTATCCGGCCAAAAGCCGCGTTCCGTTCCGAACGGGCTCGCGCCGATGCGCTCCGGCCAAACGCGCCCGTTCACTTTCATCGATACGGATTACTTTTCCAGCCCGAGGACCGGCATTGTGCAAGAAGAAGGTATCGCGAATCTCGGCTCGAAAATCGGCCGGCGCGCGCGCGCCGCGGCCAGCTTGTTGCGCGATCCTTTATCCGGCGCGGTCACGTGCGGCCACATGTCCGCGCGCCATTGCGCCGCGCCGCGCGGATCTGGTTTCGGTGATTAAAATTTATTCATACCACGCCTTTCTTTTTCGCTACGCGTGCGTCCCCCGTGGCCGCGCAACGCGGTCTTTTCTCGATCTTTCTGCGTCCCGGATTTTTAGAGATCGCTGCGCGATAGACAAAACGAAGTAGTTCTGCTCGAGAGAAATGTTTTCCTCTTGCGGCGTAGCTTTGGGGGCTGTCGAGTTTGATTAATTGGTGTTCTATTGATGCAAGAGTTACTTTGTCTGTAGTCTCTTAATCCTCGATCCTTTTGCGACTCGGATTTTTAGCGATAGTCGCACGATAGAACGAAGTAGCTTTCTTTTTAGCTTCAAAGGTTTTTGGCTCTATTAGATGTTGCATTGAATCTATAACCTTTCGTGGATACATCGATTTTTTTCGTGGTTGAATCGATTAGGTCGGTTCTCATGTTTCCAACGTGCTACTGCATTTTATTAGCCTGCGGTCACATCGGATTCGCGTTCATAACGGCAATCCGACGAATGAACAACTGAAGATCGCTGCGTGTACGCTCTTAGAAATTTCTGTACGCGTTCGATTGCTCTGACGAATTGCATCCGTCGAAATGCTAGTTTGTCCAGATGCGCATCCAGTGTAATCACAGCCTCAAGGGAAAGTTCAGGCGTGTTTCGATGAAATCGTGCGGTACCGACATCTGGCGGCAAACCGCGTGTAACAGAAATTGTTGGGATTTTGTGTTCCCGTGATTAAAATTCAATTGATTTTCGTTGGCGTAATGGAAGCTTAGATATAAATTTTCAATTTAATTAGTCAGATTTTTCCGAACGAATTGCATGCTACCGTTATTTAGAGTGAGAACATTGGAGTTTCGACTCTGTGCGTCGGTTTTCACTCGATGCAAGGGTGTAAAAAGGAATATCAAGCTTCAGGGGCATCAGAATGCATATGCAAGGAAGATTCGACGATTCGAAGATTCGAAACTTTCTCAAATTCTGTCGGTTCAAAGACAACGTCGATCATCGCATAATTTTTGTTTCTTTCTCTTAATTGCATTATCGTTTTCGTACACTCGGTCCATTTCGCTCCTTTATTCGCCTAAAAATGATTGCACTTATCATCTGCAACAAAGAAATTGTTCACCGCTTATTGTTTAAATGAGGAACAACCTAATCTTCAATCTTTCCTTTTCAAAGTTATTCACCGAAGGTTACTAAAACGTATTGTCGTCCCTTTTCAGTAACTTCGGTAAAAAGCTTTGAAAAAGTTCCCAAAGTTCTTGCGGTTTCGGCGATATCCACTTCATTACTTTTTCGTTCGCTTAATTACAATTTGTCCGCTGTTCGCACGGTTCGTTACTCCCGCCACAGAAATTTCGTCGCGCAAAAAGAGCGGAGTTCAAACTGGCAACAAAAATCGAAATAATTCGTTCGTGGTCGATCGGCTTTTTCTTCCGTTCCGCAACGGTTCGGTTTTCGTTTGCAGATTATTTCTTGTCCCAGCAACCTGGCTGCGGCTAAAAACAGAACCTAAACGATTGCGTGAATTATTTGGTTTCGTAAGTTTCATATCAATCAACCTGTTGTCTGCTGGAATCTATCATTCTCATTTTTCGCTGCTACATTCTACAATAAATACCTCCAGGCCATGTGAACTATACAAGATTCAAAGTGAATCAGAATGAAATTTCAAGTAAACGTCTAATTCAACTAAGTTTCTCAGCCAAATAATTTGCACGTTGTTTTCTGTGAGAATATTTGAATAATGATCGAGCGATTGGAAATGATACAACTGTGAAAGAGAAAATTGTACTGTATTGCAGTAATATTATATTATAAAAGTGCGAATCTTCAGAGTATAATGAACCTACCAACTGCACGGAGGTTAAGTGCTTCTTCCACCATAAATATTTTTGGTACTCAGGCCCCATCGCAGACACCAAGTAATAAGTGTACATTATCACGTGCACCGCGTTGTTTATGAGGTTGCCCAGGGTGCCGTGGCCTCCAGCAATGAATTTCACGCAGATCCACGTCTCCAACGGTGTCAGGGAGTGGTGGTACAGGTGTAGGAAAGTCACCTGGCTATCTTTCTTACGTAGAACGAAGAATATCTGAAATTTCGTACGGGAGATCAGGCGACAGACAAACACACCATACGCGAATTCAAATGTATCGATTAACCCCTTGCCGTACAATGACGAGCGAGACTCGCGACGAAGTTTTCTAGACTAATTTAATAGCAATCAATGTTGTTCATTGCTCATGGATCAAAGCAAACGAATATTTCGCTATTATCAATGTCTCCAAATGAAACTTAAAGTAGAATGGACAACTTTGCTGCTGTTCTAAATTGTCGATAGTCAAATATCACGCGAGCTTAGTAACAAAAGTGAATAGTACGTCAATGGGTTAATCTACTTCAATTTCATCGATTCACTTCGAAAGTTCTTCATTACAAAACTTCGCACGAAAACAGTAAAGAAACTAGAGTACCGATAGATTCGATGAATTCAAGATTAAAATTAGGAATCGTTGCTACAACAGGAGTTGGTTCAAAATACGAAACAAACTTCTATCTCTATTAAAAGATCAAGCGCTACGTACTAAAATTTCTCAAGAATTTCAAAAGCTCGTTCCTTTCAGTGTAACGCAACGTTTTTCGGTATTCGGAAGGGTGCGCAAAGATTGATAACGCTCGAACGTTCCGCCGGCGCGTGGAGGCCGGAAAAAGATCGATCGCAAACAATCGCGCCAGTGAACTGACAAAGTAAAAGTAGCAACTGGTCTGCGAAAGGCCAGCTTCCCTGTGCAATACTGTGCCGAAACACCGGGTTTCTGGTTCGCTGGTCGATTCCGGCACCGGTAAACACTGCAGAACGCGAAATTTCGAAGGCCCAAATTGTTTTTCACCGTTCGAACCAAGTAGGTTTTGTAATTAAGATTAGATACCGTGGGTAGACTGGCCGCGTACGTACCGTGTCAGCGAATTCCGTGAATTTGCTAATGAAGTACCACCAACACAGGCTCGCCATTCGCAGCGCGGACGGATTGTGGGAGTAGTCCACCGGCTGACACTTGTAGCTGTAGTCCAATAACCAGCCGGACATCAAGTGCTGCGGAATTATGATGATTACATAGAATGACGTTGATACAGGGCGCACCGTGGAATAAATTTATACAGTACGATAGAAATTAATGTAACAATGTAAGACAAATTAATGAAGTGATAAAAGTCATCCCATAATTTTTGCAAGATTTAATACTATTCCGAATAAAAAGAGTAGTCGAAAAATAAATTCATGCATTAATACGATAGAAATTAATATAACAATGTGAGATAAATTAATGAAGTCATAAAAAGTAGGTCATTCTATAAGTAATGTCGTTCCATCTTCGCAAGATACTATTTAATACTATTTAATACTGTTCCGAATAAAAAGAGTAGTCGAAAAACAAGGAAAGATCAACATAAAGAATCATTGTTGATAGAATGACCTAATACACACGGAAATTCAATTAGATCTCGATCTCTCCGCTATTTCGAAACAGATATAAAATTTCCAGAAACAAATATAAGTTTCTGTGTTTCAGCAATGTACACCAATTATTTCGAACAGTAGAGCTCAATGTTGCTTTTCACTCGTGTAACATTTTACGACGCGTGAAATGAGCACGGCAATTACGCTGGATATTAGATCGTCGCAGCAATTCTATCGAATAATAGAACTTCGCATCGATTTACTCCGCTGAGACCGATCAGCGAGAATATTCCCGTTCAGCACGTGTTGATCTATCGCGTCTCCAGTCACGGTGAAAACAAGGTTGAAGTGAAAGCATTCGATGCATGTTCGAAAAACTTCATCCTGCTCATCTCTGTTCGAACTTCTTCCTGCCTGGTTATTTTCTATTTCTACGGCACGAGCGTGTCGATGAGGGAACAATCTGCTCTGCAACTTTCTATGGCCGTAATAAATCTGCAATGTTGCTTCCGAACGATATTGAATTCACGATGCAAACAGCTCGACGTGGACACGATGAAATTGTTGAGAATGAGCATGTATATTTTTAATAACTGCAAGGTATAGGAGCGTTTTGTCTTTTTTTTCCGCGTCGTTCGTACAGTTTCGGAGCAAAATTTTCTCAGTTTTTGTAAAGCACCGTACTACATACTTTAATAAATACACACTTAGCTTTTCAAACTGTGTTGTTTATTTCTACGAATAAATATTCGACAGAAATATTGTAAGCTCGATTAGCTTCGCGAATGATCGATTGGGAAACGCGTAACGCGTTCGAGGTCATTTTTTATTCGCGCGTCCCGATGGTGCCAATTCGAAGGTCATCTTTGCTTTTTCTTTTAAACAGTTATTGCTTGTCCTCGAAAGTACCGCGCCGGGGATGACTAGCGCGTAGAACACGCGTGGAGCTACGATTTTCGCGTGGGGGTCGTTAAAAAAGCATTTTCACTTCTGACGTTCTCCTCGGTCGCTTGAGTAACATTTGAGTAACGATTCAGTAATAACTCATTCGTAACTCAGTCACGCGTTTAGCGACCACGTGTAAATTGCGAGAGCTGTTACCAGATTACCGTGTACCAGCGTAACTCGGTGTCCGATTCCTCCGGTCAGATTCCAGCGATTAGCGGAAGTAAGAGTCGATTAGTTCGTTAGTGGAAATTAAACCGTACTCTTTTCGCAATGTAAAAACTAATAAAAATTCTAATGAAAAACTTTCGAGTGCAAAGGGCTATTTCCTATCGTTCCCCTGAAAACCTACGAAGTGCGAAAAGAGACAGAAAATTCTCCACATCAGAATACGAGACTGTCGCTGCGCGTTTTTAATTAGCCGATGACTCCGCGCGAACCTCTGAAAAGGTCAGCCGGTCGCAGCCGCGTTTTTCCTCGCGCCCGCCGGCAGCCTCGGCGGTTCGCGAAAAATCGAGAACAGGATGCTTCGCCTTCAACGAACCGCGAACGCGCGAACCGATGAAGCAACCAGCTTCGAAAGCCTCGCGTAGCTTCTCTCCGCTTTCCGCAACAGCGGAAAGTCTCGCCTGCGCTTTCTCACCCCCTGTCGCTCCCGTCCGATTCGCAATCGCGCGCGTGCGGTGGCCCAATGTCTCTGAAAATTTCGAATTGTTTCGTCCGACCGACTCGGATGGCAACGGTTGCGTATCCACGACCACGTCCGTTTTCCTCTGCTACCGATTTTCGCGGCGGCGCCTCTTTGTTCCCACCGTTGACCCGTTTCCCGCTGATTACGAAGGGGGATTGCGAAACGAGAACACTTCGGGAAATTCTGCTTTCGTTCAGCGTTCGAACGGGTTTCAATGATTTCCTGCGATTTCCTGAAGTTTTGCAACTTCTGTGCTGTACGTTTTAACCCTTTGGCACTCAACGTGTTAATATTTGACGATGAGATAACAACGATATTTTGTGGAATTCGAAGAAAAATCATGTTTGAGGAACAAAGCTATTTTATTTCAATATTTCTCAAACTGATGCGTTATACTGAGTATAATATTAAATATCGAATTTTATAGTTTGTGTGATATCAAACGGTGTGAGAGTCACCTCTCGAGTGTAAAGGGTTGATAACAATGTATTACTAATAGTATTAATCGATATAATTTTATTCGAAACGGAGCTCCATTTTCTGACTAAATGCTCGAGTTATAAATGGAGTAGAAAGTGCAAGGGATTAAATATAGAAGACAGAAGTTTCGAAGATATAATGAATGGACTGGAAGGCGAGGTAATTATACAACAAATCAGAATGATTGACAGTGTTACAACACCGGCCAGAAATCTGTTAAGGCTTATCTGCCGATCTCGTGTGTCATCCTGCCTGTTTCGCAACAATGCGCCCCATTTAGCGGCTTGTCTTTTCACGGTCGGACGTCGGGTCGAGGAGTTGAAGCAACATCCTCATCGAGAGAAACCAATGGGGACCAAAGTACACGGTGAACGACCGACGTTCGTCCGAGGAGTTGCCAAAGAGACCCGCTAGATCATCCGTTGTTTGGTCCGGCCACCTTGAACCAGTAACCGGCCAGGCTCGCGCGGACTTGGCTCACTTTCGACTGGATCCGCGCTGTATCCGCTTGTGAAACGCGTCGTTGCGAGCTGACCAGTCGCCGCGGTTAATGAATCGTGTTAACCAGACTGTCGCGCAGCTTCGGATTTTTAACCCTTCGCAATCGAGAGGCGACTACCAGGAGCGAGATGATTTGATACAGTGTAATTATGAACTGCTGTGTTTACCATTTAACACTAAAACTACCGAGCACTTCAATTGAAACATTTACCAAATGATGCTTACAGAATTCAATGTGCGTCAAATTGACGTAAACCTAGTGTTAATCGAACGAAATTCGAGAAGCCAACCGCTAAGGTGAAACTGTCAAGCGAAACATTTTCCCGCTTGACTCGTGACGCGTCCGATAAGCCAGATAACGCTGACAACGGTAAACGTGCAATTTGCTTCGGGTGATCGGTTCGAGTATCTTGGCGCGTTCACCGCGCGAAACACTTTTCATCCGGCGGATTACGAGAAAGCGTCGCGGGAGAACGTTCGTTTGTTGGTCGATTTCGTGGGAAATTAACGCGCGACCGCTTAATATGCTCGCTCCGGTAGCAGCTTTCCATGTCATCTGTTCAACCCGTTCCCAACAGACGTTCACGCAACGCAACATTCGTCTTCGCGCGATCGTCGGATCATTCATTTCATCGCGAAAGCTGTCGCGGCTTTCGAATCGTTGCTCGAAACTCTGGATGCTTTTCCTTTCCGACGAGTCACTCGGCGTTTGGGTTCGGCGAGCAGAGAAAGAAATACAATCTTTATCGTTGATCAATTTCTGTCCGTTTCTGGAACAATGATTTAACGATGTGTTGCCTTCGAGCACCGACTCGAGTTATTCACGGTTCGAAAAACAAGTTTCGAGTAGACGCTGACGTCGATCGCGTCGAACTCGTCGCGGTTCACCGGTCACGGGTCTCGACATTTTGAAGCATTTAACTTATATATGTATTTCTCAGCGTTTATCGATTGTCAGCAATTTTTCGGATCGGCTGTTCGAAGGAAACTGTAAACTAGATCAAGGAAAATTGGATCACGGGCCACTTTCGCCGTAATGTAAATTATATTTCTCAGTTTTTGTTCTCCGCGTAAGAAATTTTATGCTCTACTCCTTCTCATTTATTACTATCGATGTTCGAGGATTCTTCGTTTCTATTAAACAGAAGATAATCCTCGGTTTTTATCCCGATCGAAAGCAGCACATCGGTAGATCGAGGGTAAAGCGAAACTCTGAAACGCTATAGAAGTTTAAGCAAGTATTTACGACGTGAAAAGGTCTTTTAATATTTATAAAATGCAATTGCGCTCGGGGAAGAATGTATAACAGTTCGAACAACGCGCAGACTCGTATCTCGACCACGCTCCGAGTAATCTGTAAGTCGTCCGACTATCCGTAACTCGAGCTTAACTCGTCTCTCGAAAATGGGTGGCGATAAATAGTAATTTGTTGTACTCGTAACGATGTTTGACGAAGTACGCGGAGATAACGAATAACTTGCTTCTGTTCGGCGTATCCACACCGCTGTGAAGTCAGTGGCAGATATATAGTCTTTATCGAATTCGGTCAGTTGGCGACCGATTGGAAAGAGATCTCGTGTCTTCTGGAGCATAGAAATCATATGTTGATTACCAATGATGTTCAGCTACTTCTGTTACACTCGAGAGACGGATTAATTCACGTTTCCTTTTGATCCGACACTGAATAAATTCAAACATTCTCGCATTTACACTGATTGCTTTTCATTTCACCGTTAGCTAAGGCGAGAATTTGATTCGTAAAGTGTTATAGCTTGTTAAATACGAATCTATATGGACTGATTAATAGATAAATGTTTTGACTCTATAATCTCTGAGCGTCATTCAATCATGATTACGATCTCTGAATTCCCTAAGTAACACAAGTTTTCTAGTCGATAAGAAATCCTTTCCTTCGATCATCGGTCCGTAATTCTACGATTATGCCGAGCCTCCCGAAGATCATGATCGCCATTATCCTAATGACCGGTTGCAGGGGTCAACGGACTTTCACTGTCGTAATTTGAAGGTGAGATTCAGCGCTCGGAAGCCAATGCAATCGAGTCGATTCGCTTACGAATCTTTAATCACTGATTGTTTCTTTGCACCCTGTAAGCTCCAGTATGGCACCATTTGTGCTATTAAATATTTTAATGAATAAATTTAGAACTATCCTAAGATTATTGGATCTTCTATACACCCAAATTTTGTATTAAGAAGGAAAACAAAGGAACCTAAGAGATCTTAGAATATAACATTTCTCATTTGTGCTGGGGATACTATAAAAACGGATTGGAGTTGGTAGATTACAAAATCATCTGGAGTGCCAAGGGTTAACAAACTTTGTTCCTTCAGATCATTTTTTAGGTATCTCGTAGGGGGTCATTGCTTACCTCGTAGAGCATTCCTAGCGAGAAGACCACTTGAAACGCGTTGTAAGCGAGCAGTACGCCTCTGAGCTTGAAAGGCTTCCGGTTGGCCATCACTCGCGGGCCGAATATCGTCACCCCGTACAAATAGAGGAGCACGATGAGGACCGTTGGTATAGGCGAGTCCATCAGGGGCCAATCGCCGACACGAGGGTCCGAGATCGTTGTGAGGATTTCTGTGTACTGGTCCAGGGCCATTCGGACCAGACCTTGAGCTCCGACGCCCATCAACGTTCTGTTCATGTCCGTCATCTCGATCATGGGCTCCGGGTCCCTTTCCACGACTAATTCCGCTGCTGCCGATGCCATTTCTGCGAACAGTCATACGTATTTTCCGCGTTGAATTTCATTATTGTGGTATTCATGGCATTTAAATATGTTTTATTTAAAAAAAACATAGGAATAGATAATTGAATAAAATGCAAATAAATATTCAAGCGAACTTTGCAATTATTGTCAATAGTCAATTTTAGTGTTAAAGAGGGAATAGACCGAAACGATCGTCAACGACTCGTCTTTATCTTCTAGCCAAACTCGAGTCGGGTTCTCTGTTCCGTGTTTCTAGGCACGTACACGCGCAGAACCGCGAGCGCGTAAAGAGAACGAAGTTGATCGACGATCGTGTTGCATGACACAGAACGCGGCGGGTCAGGAAGTTCGCGGTGGACGTCATCCGCGAGGATCGTCGTTGCACACCGTCGTTTTCACTTGTCGCGTTGCTCCAGTCAACGGGATGCGACCTTCTGTGTCCATTGTGCTTTCAATCGCGCCGATAAATCAGTGACCGCACCCTTGCATGCACTCTGCGGTTCATGAATATTAAGTATTCGCAACCTCACCGGTTTCTACGGTTATTTTATTCCGCTAAACATACTGGGCGTTCAATTTATTGGAAAATTAAATTGGGACACTCTGATCATTCGGAAAATTCATGTTTCGGCTTGTGAAATGATTATGCAACATATTCAGAAGCTGTATAAAGGGCTTTTCGACCTAGGAGAAACGGAACGAGTATCCTTGAATAACTAAGAATATTATTTATTATTAACCCCTTGGCCTATGATTTACAACTCTGATCGATACGGCCACTGTGTCATTAATAATTTATTTGAAAAATAGAAAAATTCTAAGCATATGTTATGCCTATATTACCTTTTAAGTATAATAGTTGATTACAGAGGAATAGTATTTACTTTGCATTCGAATGAACTGAATAATATATATTTGTTGAATCACGTTGAAAATCTTTACCATGGTTCTCCTTCGCCTGATTAAATGAAAAACGATTTCATTCGATTCTTTCGGTTACTCCCGAAGCAGAACTTATCAATTTTTAAAGAAAAAGAAGTCAACCCAAGGGTCAATCGAGGCCACAGTGCGATGCACTTTCGATGCAATAGGGTGTAAGGTCATTTGACTTCCCTGCTGAATCGCAGGTGTACACTAGACTCTTTCTCTCTCCTCTGCTCTCGTTCTACCCATCTCTTTCTTTTCCTTTTCGACCGAGACCCGTTTCCATCGTTCATCTGACAATAATCACCAGTTTCAGCCGCGATCGATACGACCGTTGCGTTTCACTGAAACTGGGTTTCCGTTTGAATGGCTCGCTCGATCCTCTCGACGAGCTCTTTTCCTACTTCCGTTTATTTGTTTATGAAAGTGACAGCTTATTATATAGCACCCGGTAATATTACACGGCTGCACGATTCTCGACCAGTTTTTGTACAAAAATTGTTTAATCGTGAAAAGTCCGAGCCTCGGTACTTAGCGATCTGTTTGCCTGAGCAAACATGTATTTCTTCCCATGTTTTTCTTCAGAAATAATGTCTTTAATATGGCAATCGCTGATTATCTAGTATCGATCCTGAAGACATCAACGGCAATAGATACTCATTTGAGAATATTCCGGTCGAGAGGAATATGTTTCCGCAACTTTGTATGCAATAATGGATTCATAACGTTCAAACATATCGAACGTACCAGATTCGAGGGAAGAAACGCACGAAACAGTTATGTGAAATTTATGAGAGATTTATTGTAATAGCGTGTACACACACCGCTGACTGTGGTTCGAGTACTCAGTTGCTCAATGCGCGCAAGAAAAAGCGACTGAGTTACGATATCACAGTGTGTGGTAATAATCCTCGCCGCGTGTTGTGCGAAAGAGAACACGATGAACGGAAGAAAGGCATCTGCGACCGAGAAACCAATGATTCCCTACGCAGATCAATCGAACAACCGGCAATTTCGTTTTCAACAAATTCTCGCGCAGAAATCGGCATTCTACGTTCAGTTAATTGAAACTCGTCGAGGAATTCTTCGACGATCCTCGCGAATCTATGAAACCCCGCAACTTGCTTCGTCGTGATTCGAAAATTAGTGGGTTAACGATTAGCGAGGAAAGCCAATTAAGTTGTTGCTGGTAATTACGGAGAAACGCGAGGAATCATAAAGTTTGTTTGAAAACTCGTATAACTCTATGAGGCAAACGCATTCTTACGTGCTCAATCAGAAGTTACTGTCAATTCGCAGAGTAGTCTTAACAGATAGACGCCTAAATTCGCTGACTGTTGAGTCTTAAATCCACACTCGCTTCCGATTACCCTGAATATGCTTTTAATCGTCCAGGAATCTAGCGAACGGTGTATTTCCCACAGCTGTCCAGTTCCTTTCGCAGGATCATCGATTTCCTTCGTCCTTCCTGTTAATTATTCAGCAAATTTCGGGCTCGAACAGTGTAAACGCGGGTTACGAAAGCTGCGCGGCCTCGAACCTTGTCATAACCAGGATTCGACGATGACATCGAGGACCTCATAGATATTCCGAGGTTTCATTTGCAAATCGAAGTGGGTCACGACAACCGAGATTAACAACGCTCGGTGATATTCCGCGGCTTGATCGCAGTTGTGAATATTAACCTCCTGTGTTGCAGTTCAATTTACAGATTTAACAAATTTTTGGACGATTTTATTCGTTAACTACCGTACCAGTCAAAATGACTGGTTTCGATTTTCTAGTTTAGCAATTGTTGATGCCTTCGAAGCATTGAATATTCGAAATGATTTTGAAAATGAATAGTTTCACTTGAGTACTATAATGAATGTCTGAAGAAACTGAGAATAATCTATTGTTACAATTTTTATAGGAATTGCATATTAATCGTATTAAATGCTCGGTAGTTCTAGTGTTAATCATTCTATATACTTCAAAACAATCTAGTGTACCTAATGCAACTAGACTATCGATGTTTATAACACGTCATTGGTAGTTTTCGTAAAATATCTCAACATGCGTGGTCTTTCCACTAAGAGGTTAACGCGTTATCAACTAATTTCTCGACAACTCGTCTTTTGATCTATTTTCTTTCTCTTTTATCTTCGTAGTCAAGTTATAGAAAATGAAGAATCGTTACTCGTTTCGAACGTTTTCGTTTTATGAAAGTTTCCACTTGGAAAGGTTGGTGCACGCTTGCGAAAAATCCGAGGTCGCCAAGGTGTTAACAGCGTCTGGTCGATTACAGGTGAAAATAGGCGGTTACGCTACACTTCCGGCCCTAACTGTCGGCGCAGCAACTTTGTTTGAAGAGAGTGTGGCACTTTGGGCTGATTGCGTGCTCCGCATCGGCTTTCTTTATCGTGTAATAGTGCGAAGACAGTCTATTAAGTTTCGATAGGGTCTAATGAACACATTCTTCGATGAAGGTTTCATCGACGATAACGACCGAACACTTTCTTTGGAACTTCTTCGTTAACTCTCCTTTCCAGGCCTCAATTAAGCAAACTGAACTTTAGGTCGAACAATCGTTGCGCTGTCGATCGACACAACGGCCACACATTTGGCAACAGTATCTCATAAAAAACGCGACAAAAAACTCATTTATATGTGCTGATATGTTGATTGATTTTGTTGCGTCACAGCGTGCAAAGAATATTGAGGTTAAATTATAGGAAATGTACCTTAATTTACCGTTTGCCACGATATACTGAATATATATAGGCATTAGTTCATGTTAAGAACAGAAAGAACCGGTTGACATTTGCGAAAACATAGCGATAAATCTCGGAACTTTTGGAATAATTCCGGTGGATAGCCATCAAAGAGTGGCGGCCCTAAAATAGACTGGAATCATAAACTATTGCTCTAAATTCTAAGTAGGATCGACTAGCTTTTTACCAACAATCTACGCGTACAAGCTGTTAGCGAACGCAAATGCAATCTTACATGAAAAAACACAGGATTCAGAAATATGGAATAAAATCCTTTCGCGTGATACTTCATTTCCTAAATGATTACATTCGACTGATAAACTTGTCTCAAATCAATGAATTGCTCTCAATCTTCCTCAATTAATAATTAAATCATTCAGAATTTTTTAATACTCTCCGATTTTTCTAAATCGTAATGGAATTTCCTCAATTAATTTTCTAAATTATTTTTCTCAATGTTTCCTTTCCTGTACTTAACCCCATTGGCTTCTGTACTCAAATCACTGAAGCCTCCCATTACTCGAACAGGAAGTTCGAGAAAAGTCAGCCAGCGTTTGGTCCTGACATTATTCGGACCCTCGTTTCGCTGGAAGATCCAATGGTCTTCCACGCTTTCCTTTCTTCGCACGTCAATCAACCGCTAATAAACCGGTTCACGATGCCTTCCGATAGTCCCTGGTTACCGCAGCTTTGCGGTCAACGGACATGATCGTAATGAAATGCACGTGCGGCTGTCATTTAAAGCGTCGCGTACGGATAATAATTTCGCGCTCGATTTGTAACACGAGCAGCGTCGCACGAACGCGACAATTCGGGAATCGGGAAATCCCGTGCGTCGATGTTTCAGCAATCTATAGAATTCGAAATTGACAGTATCATTCATTTACTCCGTGGATGAGAAATTTCGTTGATGAATATTACGGAAGTGATGTGAGCAGTCAATTGTTCTGTATTATAATTCATGTTATATTGTTTTACGGTGGTAACTTTCTACTGTATTGTAATGAACTTTTTATATTGTAATTAACTACACCGATGATTTCATTCTTTCGAACATCACGCGTTGAAAGAGAAACGATTCACGTATACCAGTTTTCTACAATTCCTGTCACCTTCCAGGTGTCAGATCCGTTTGTTGCACCGACAAACTTTTGACACGTGCTTTCTCTCCCGTTAATAATCACAAACATGGCCGGATGATTCCATGGGTGTAGCCTAGACGTTTCAGCGAGAGAGATCCCAGAGATCCTTTTTTTTCCTTATAAGTCTCTGTCCGGAGATCTTAGCAGTATCCCGCGAAATAGTTGACAAGGATCTGTATTTAC